ATTTAGACTAAAACAAAGAAAGTAAAATATTAAGAAATATTTTAAAGCCCTGCTACTTATGGTGGATTATTTTGTTTTGTTTTGATTTTTTTTGTCCTTGAAGTGGACACTGAGTCAGAAACCTTTTTTATCTGCTGCCTGTTACTTTTTACCTGAGCAGGTCTGTAATTTACAATCCCACTGAACAGGCAGTGGGTTTGTAACCACTTTGCACAGGCATGCAAGACATACAAGCTAAATCGTCACCTACTTTAGTAGAGGGGCAGTCAGGAGGGCTTGTACCACTGCAGTTGCTTCAGATCACCCGCACGCTTTTGCTCAAGAAACGGATGCTTCAGACTTTCACCTCTAGAGGGGGGTAGATACCTGTGTACTGTTTCCAGCATGTGAGACAGCTGAGACAGCTCTTCCCTACGACCCTATTTCTGTCAAATTCCCTGTGCATGTGACTGACTCACCTAGCAAACACACGATAGTTTTGACGGAACTGTAAGCACTGGCCTATGAGGAATCCTGTAGCAATTCTTGTTCTGATCCCAGCTGGGGACTCTTTGGCATCACTTGATTTTCTGCTTAGAGTATGACTGCAGGCTCTAAAACTGCAGAGCTGAACAGGGGGGCAATGAGTTGTCCCCATAACATGCTCACTTATAGTTGATCCTCTGTTGCCCTCAGATCCCACCTTCACTGGAGGCAACACATGCTTTCCTGTCTTGCCTTCCCTGTGGAAATCCTGAGCGTCAGTAACATAAAATATTCTATTTATGCAGAATATAAACAAAAGTAATTAATATAAATAATTTCTCTTGCCTTCCTCATTTCTGCCTGTCATTCAAGAGATAGGAGAGCATCACGACAGCTGGAATGGATGTTGTATATAAATGATCTCCAGATGGAAAAGGAATTTAGCCACTTACTTGGAGTTTCCAGATGTTTGAAAGACCTGGAAAACACACATTAACAGTGTAGACCATCCACAGGGTGTCTGGAGAGGAAGTGCATCTCTGCTGCACCTTTGGCTTATGGACATGTAGTAAGTGATATATTATTCACAATGTGCTGAATGTGCTGAGTACAGGCTAATCATGTATGCATCAGTGCTCAGTGGAACAGCTCAGCCTTGGAACGGCTGGAATCAGGGCCACCTGATGCACAGCACACACATCCACATTTCAGACCTGGATTCCCCCAGCAGAAGTCCTCCATTAGCAGGCAATGGGAGTAACAGGTATTTTGGAGGTCTGTCTTGGCCATGGGCAACATTTCCAACTTGTATTTGCTTGAGATCCCAAGCTGAACCAGAGGTTATTGGTGGTATCAGCCAATATCCAAAAGTAGAGATTTCCAGAAGTCAAAGATAGTGAAAAAAATTTCACCTTTTTCTGCCTTGGGAAAAAAAGGGAGGGGGGGGGGGGGGGAAGTAGAAATGCTGAGAAAAAATATTTTTGAAAAACTAAAATAACTAAAATAACTTTGTTTTTTCCTTCTTCAAGCACAGAAAGTGGCTTATATACAATTCAGTTAGCATTTAGAAACTTTTGAAAAATAAAATTTTCAAATAAATAAATATTATACAGTGTAAAACATCTTGGGACCATGGAAAGAGTGATACTGCATGTGAAAGTACATCAAGTTCTTTTCCCGTTGACACACCTCTACATTAAGAAAAATTGTACATCAAAAAATAGAAAATTTAGTCTCAATCTCCAAACCTTGTAAGCTTACAAGTACAATATTACAGGTATACGTAATATAATTAAGTCCTGCAATACCATTTTGAAGATCAGGAATGCAGGAAGAGTAGCATCAATTTAACTTTAAATCAAAACAAAACAAAAAAAGCAAACAAACAAACAAACAAACAAAACCCCCCCAAAAACCAAACAACAAAAAAAAAACCACTTTGTGTAAAGTTCTTTCCATTTTTTTTTTTATTTTTTTTTCCAGATAGAAGGTTGAAGATGGAAGTTCAGTTTTTTCTGGACTATGAGAAAAGGTTGGTGTCTTGCACAACTCATCAATGTAGTTTTGCTCACTTGAGGGCAAAAAACAAACTAAATCTCTGCTCTGGTTCAGAAGTAGTTTATTCAATACTGGGATGACATGAGTTGCCTTGAAACCTAGCTAGAAGATCATTTCACATTTGATTGCAACCTCTAGACCCTTCTGGGATGGAAGTTACGTCACTGAATGAGGCTGGTTTTGACTCCTGTACGTGCTCTTGAACTCTTCATTTAACTTGTTAATTCAGGTGCCAGGCACAGACTTTGTAGTCTACTCAGAGTCACTCAACCTGCCCCTGTATGGCCCCACAGAGAGCTTGGGAAGAGAGATAGTGGGGCAGGCTCACACACTGGTGTCATGGCATGGAGGTGGGTGGTGGGGAGTTGGACAGCATGATGGGGACAGAACTAAAACAAAAGAGAAAATCCATTCTCTTTGCCCTGAGTAGTTTCCAGTGGTTTGAGGATCCTGTGACCATCCAGGACAGGAGCTGTGAACATGGTACCCTAATGTTTTAAATCCAAGAGGAGTGTGGTCAGGCAAAGACAAATGCAAATTTCCACAGTGTATAAAATCAGAGATAAATAAACTGTGTAGAGCAGTTATCTTGCTGAAACCTATCAATCTATGTATCACAGTACGGTCAATGGTAAGCAAAAGGCTAAATTCTGGTAGAAGCAATCATGTTTTTGGTCTGAACCATCAGTGGTTGTACAATAACTATTTTTATTAGAACAGAACAACATTTGAAATTTCTGCTTAGAAGTTTTGGGACAACTTATTTTCTCTTAAAAAAAAAGAAAAAAAAGAATTTTATTCTTGTTTAGAATCAGAGTAAAATGTCAAAATTGCTCATGACATAAAATACCTCAAAAAGACACCCACAGCAAACTTCAATCTTTATGCATTGACTTCAATGCTTACAGTTCAGGGTATTTTGTTATTTTGCTATAGTCAAAATATTACAGCTGAATTGAAGTGCAACAACCATAGAGAAACCAAGCACTTCAAGCTGATGAAATGAAATATTCTGATATTTTTCCTCTGAGCAATTCAGCTAAAATTTTGGAATCCTAATGACAACAAAACCAGAAACAAAAATCAGAAAACCAGACAACAAAGAGCCAGAAGCGGTCCTGAAGAAGGATGCAAGGAAGGAAAGCACATTGTGGAGCCAGAGAAATAAATTGAATGGAAGTTTGACAAGAGCTTTTTACTTGATGGTCTTAAAGGCAAGTGTGGGAAGGAAAAACACTTTAAAAATAAGCATTGCTAGGATTCCCTTTCTCTGTTATTGTCTTTATTCTGCCATTAAATATTTCTTTTTTTTTTTTTTTTTTAACAAAGAAAGGAATGAAGGAAGGGTGAAAACAGACTGTTCTCTTCACATGTGCAGGTCCTAGCACCTTCCTTGTCCCATGTATGACCCTCAACATCTATACGATTTTTTACTGTTTATACCAGTTGGCCCACCCTAGATAAAGCAACATAATACCTAAATGCACTTCCACAGGCCCTCATTCTTTGAGCACTTTAATGACTTCTGGTAAAGCAGATTAAGCAGTGGAATACATGCTACTGACTCTAGAGTTCACGGGGCCACCCCTCCACTCACTTGAAAAAAAACAACTGTTTCCATCAACTCATTTTACTGAAGATCTCAAAAATATACTGTTTAGCTTTGAATCACTGCCAGACTGGATTGATCTCCTCATTCCACCTGATGTGGGACTGAGTAACAGATGATTGCCAGCGAGCTTCATTCCCTGAAGAATTCAATATTGCTACTATAGGTTCGAGCCAGCAGTCTTAACAAGCGTTGATATTTTTTTCAACACATCTTCAGAGGCCTTGAAATCACCGTGTCAGCTCAGTTTATTTTTCTGTCTTTCTGAAGAGGATCAAATGGCCAAACTGCAGAAAAACTTCAGCCAACATTTTCCTTCTTAAAGCCATAGATCCCTATGGCATTTAGTGCTCACACAATGTTTCTGGTTCTCCACTACCTTTTATTTTGAGCTCCCTGAACAATGCTGATTCTTCAAGGCTGCAATGTGATACTGTATTACTGTAAAAGGTAGAAGTGCAGATTGCTATTTAAACAAAGGGCCTCACTTTGCCAATAAACATCAAAGTATGTTAAAATGGATGCAAACACAACACAGATGCCCAGAAAAGGCATTTTATATTATCAGAGCAAAATGATGAGGCCTTTGAAGGGTTGGTGAGTCTCACAGATTTATAGTAATTTGGTTTTTGTCTTTAAACCTCTAAGTCCTAGCATCACAAGAACATAAAAGAAACTCAGCTTTCAAAAGAGTTCCTTTCTAGATTTTGTGTTTACAGGATATAATTTACCAAAAGGACCTTAAAAACCAGGTTGTCTGTTACAATATGATTATAATTAGCTCATTATTAGTGGCAACATTATAGCATCATTTTTTGTATTACACCTGAAAAAAAGTTGAGAATACTTGAAAATATTTTCTTGTGCAGTGACTTAAACACAGATTACAGTGTAATACATTGCTTCTCATGTAAATACGTCATTTTGAATTGTATAACTCCTCTAAAATATTGATGCTGAATGCTGATTTCAGTGATTCTTTTTTTGAAAGTCTAATATATATATCAAACTATACCCCATGCAAAAACCCAGAGAGGAATAGAAGTTCAAACCTACAGACACTGTAGCTGCTTGCTTGCTGTTTACTCCTTTCCAGGAGAAAATGGATGGGAAGTAATTCTGAAAGGCCAAACAGATAATAGGAAAAACTCTGAAACGCTTACCACTGGTTGAAGTGTCAAAACCTACCACTAATACAGTACAGAGGTATTGCTCCTATAGGCTGTGGCCAGACTTCAGACTTTAATATGTTGTTATTCCCCATTTGATGCCCCAAATGCCAATACAAACTTTGCCTTTGTCAGCTCAAGTGTACTTATACCTTTTTAATGACAAGTGCATTTTCTGTAGATACAGAAATTATTTCTGTAGAAATGAACAAACAAGGCAGATTTTAATAAAAGCATATGGACCTGTATTATTGCAGACTACAGGAGCTGTAACCTGGTGCTGTGTGCCAGCTGTCATACCATGGGACAACTATATTTGACACCAATTGGAAGAGAAAAAAAAGAAGAAGAAAAAACTGAAAAGGAAGGAAAGGAGTTTTCTGAACTGAGGATTCAAACTCTGTTTAGCATCATCCTTGCTCTGAGATGATGTAGAGTGTAGCTGCTCTGGTGCTTGATTCTCTTATCTGTTATTCCCACCTGTACAATGCAATTTTCTGGCCAGACAAGCCTGATTTGGTCATCCAGCTGGGCTGGGAGTGGACAGTTCGTGCTGGAGTGCTGCTGGACGCAGAGGAGCAAGCGTTAGCTCTTACCTTCCCTGCTGTTTCTTGGCATGCAGCTTGTTCCCATGATGTATCTGAGGCTGGTCATGGAGGTTTATGGTTTATTTTTATAGCAATGTTTTCAAGCAATTATCTTCCAACTTGCAGCCATAGACCTTTATACTCTCAATCTAGCAAAGGCTTCTTTCTGTAAATCCACTTGTTTAAGATTTCCCTCATGTGCACACACTAAACACATTGTTAACCTTGACGAGCAGTTAAACACTTATCCAGAACCGCAAAATTTCAGCTCATTTTCAAGTGTTGTAAGCCCTTATTTCTCTTGTCCATTCTGTAAGCTCGGCATGGTACGACAATAAAGGAAGGAATAAAATAGCTAGAGCCATAAACTTAACTAGTTTGAATCAGGGTAGCTCCACAAAGTCCATGGGGTTATAGAGATATGCACACACTCTGAATCTGGCCTTCTGTAAAACAAAATTCACTAATTACTGGCTTTCATAGGTCTACTTGTATTTCTCTCTTATTGGGGTTTGTGTGTTTTCCTTTGAAGATAAGACACTAAGTTTATTTAAAAGAGTACTGAGAGCTCATTAGTCAATATTGATTTTGGTGTGCTTGAGTTGGTATAATCGCACAAATGCAATTATGCTAATAAAATCTATTAGCAGTCATGCTGGCTAGTGAGTGTTATGTCTTCACAACGGACTAAAAATCCAGGCTCCGATTCTGTATTGCACTATTATGTTTTATAGTCAGTGTAACTCAAATGATTGAATTAGAGATGCAGAAGAATAATCTGAAGATGCTCTAAACTCGGCCCCCTTTCAGTGGGTGCAGTACCCAAAATGTAATAGGAACTTCACATGCTAGTTAGAGGTGAGTTCTGGAGCCTGAGTCGCTGGATCTGGAAAAAGAAAGGGAAAATATTGCTGTAGTGATTATTACACAAGAGAAAGACCAAACAGAGCATATGAGATCAAAAATGAGGCAGGAAGAACACAAACTTAAACACTGTACATACGAAGATTAACTACATAAAATAAAAGCTGGAAGAAATAAAAGAGCCAAACAAGGCAGTACAGGAAATTTCTAAAAATGTTGCCGTTGACACTAAAGAAAGACAGAGAATATTCTTCCTGCAGCTGCAGTACAGCTGCCACAGCCAAACAAAACCCTCTCAGGACCAAAAAACATAATAAACTGAAACTTTATTTAAGAGAAGCAGTATCTTTTCTCCGCATCCTGAGCCAAATACTTACTAAATCAGGGTGCAAGCATAGCTTGGGAGCACCCAATGGCACAAAATATCTTTCTAGGATCAGGAAAGCTTAAGATCTGGTTTTGGGGATGTTAAAATGCATCTTTTTGCTCTCTTGCTGCCACTGTACAAATGAGACTTCGGCCCTGTTTTTCTATCTCCATTTCAAGACCCCTGATGATAGATTCTGAGACTTCTGATTTCGGTCACTTAAACCATCAGAAAGTGCACATATACAGTTTTAAACTGAGAGCTGTAATGCTTCCTAGTGGTCTGGATTGCCTGCTGTTTAGTGTTTCAGATGGTACTGTACAAAAAGAGCAGCTGGGACTCTGTGTGCTGCTGGGGGTTTGCTCCTAGGACACCCTCCAGCCTCTCAATCCCATCTCAGTTGCACTTGGTTACTGAGAAAGTTTTGCATTTGTTATAAGGTGCTTATACTGATTTACAAAGGCTTTGAAAAGCAGAGCCCATGTTACCTTTCTGAGTTAGTGACTCTTTACTCCACTGGTCACAGGCTGAGGTCAACTGATACAGGTCTCTGTGCATCTTCAATACTGAAATGCATCACTTTGGGTGGTCGCTCTTTCAGCCATTGTGCACGTGGCCCCACTGCCTCCTGACAGTACTGGCACTGCTACCTTCCCTGCAGTTAAAGTCCAAATGCAAGACACAGTTGTGTTCATCAGTCATTAACTGGATACAAATCATTGTGATTTCTGTAGAATTATTGCTAATGCTGTTTTTTCATTTGTTTCTCTTTAGTGCATTGGGATGTGTCTGCAAGACAGGGCACTAAAAAGTGTGTTTTCTTTTCCCCTCTGTCATTCTGTTTTTATTTTCTGTTTGCAAATGTAATTCCCTCCCTTGGTACAGCAGGATAACATGCATAATGTAACTATGTGAGCACAGCTGAACTTTTTCCTGCTCTAAAGAAAACATTTATTATGGACCAGAGCACAGAATAGCTATACAAATAACTTTGATTAAATAAGTAACATAAACCAACTTCTCCTGTAAAGAAACATAATGTATTTATCAAATTAAATATGGATAATGCAATCCTGTGTTGACTATTCAAGCTGAAATGCTTACTAAATCAATGTAACAGATCAGAATTTACAGAAGAAGTCAACCCTCTAAAGCCACTATTATTAATCATTACTTTAAATTCTGTAAGTCCTTTTGATGTTGGGCATAATACAGATGATTATGCGAGTAGAATTGTAACTGTATTGTTAATCAATGGATGTTTTTACTAACTGGATGAATAATAGCAAAAGAAAGCATATTCTAAAAAAAAAAAAAGAAAGAAAAAAAAAAGGTTGGAATGTGTCTGCTCCAGAAATATTAAAGTAGCTTTGTTTCACTGATGTTACAAATTCCATCATATGAAAACTATTATACAAAGATTACTCATTATTAAAGGTATACCACAAGATTTCATGGTAACAGAGTGTTGTCATGGGATAAACATATTTCACTTTGAAATATTCTCCATAAATGCCTCAGTCACCACAACTTCCACTTAGCTGTGGAGGGCTGGCAGGAATGTTTTGTTTTAAAATTAATCATCCACTGTTCTTCCTTCCTGTCAGTAAGCTTAAGCACTGCAATATGAGGGAGAAAATCTTGGAACTGTTTTTCATATTCATCCAATGCCCAAGACTGGAGACAGAAAGGGATATTCCAAAAGCTGATTTGGGGAATATTGTAATTTTGAGAATTTCAGTGAGAGCTCTCACTTAGCTGAAGTACCCCAAAAGTAAACTGCTCTAACTCTAGCAGAACTGAGCACTAAGTGATTAGTATTAGTCCTACAAGAAGCTAAGGCACTATCACAGGCATGATGGTCAGAGTTATTCATTCCAAGTAATTTAATTTAGGAAGTATGTCAGCACAAAATCAATCAACAGAGAAGTCATAAGATGATTCAGCTGAGTTTAAAACTGCACATGTGAAGCTGACTACAGACTCCTAAAGAGAACATCTGATGTACAACCTTACCCTGGGATCAGCTTGAAAAGGAGGGCAGAGGTAGGGAGGGTCAGCAGTCATTTATTCACTATTAGTTATGGTGTGTTCTTCCAGCCCCTTGGCTTTCTGTCCTCCCTCTTTCACAGAGCCCGTGGGTTCAGGATTTGTCTGATGCCTCAGCCAGTTCCTTCTCTGACAAGCCCGCTAGGGGATTTGCTGGCCGTTTTTGTAGGGTAAGAGGCAGACCTGGGCTCTGCTCTCCTGCATCTGCAGGGATTCACACTGCTCTCGAGTGCAAGCTGCTCCTGCCCACAGTAGCCTCAGTGGGGGTGCATGACTCTGAATCATCACGCAAGTCCACTTAAACTCAAAAAGACCCCAAACCAAAAATATGTCTGTGAGTACTTATAAATGTTAACATCTCACAAGGCAGTGGGTTGTGTGCTTAGCATCTGAGTGCTGGCATGAAGCTGTGCTGGGATACAAGCACACCAACAAGTGAGACTGAAGTGGTGTGAATGCAAATTGGATTTTCCTATGTTGCTAATTGCCGCCCATCAGTAAAAAATCCCTCTTTCCTATTTCAACAGTGTTAGTCCCTGACTGAGATATCACTCATGGATTTTTTTAATGTGAGCTTTAGCAGTTACTTTTTTGGAAGCAGTGTGTTAATATGATGTCACTGGGTCTGCAGGTGAGTAAAACCCCAAATAACTTTTCTATTGAAAAGTTCTTTCAGCAGCTGTTTCCACGCATGATTCATAACTTATCTGCCTTAAGAACTGTGGCCATTTAAAAAGCTTTAGTGAACAAAAGCACAGCACAACCACAAGTCCAGAATGAAGGACAAACACTTTCATTAAATACCTGCCCGCATGTGTGCTTATTTAGAATTTTTACAGCATTTTTTTTATGGCTAATGTACTAGATGGATACTCATCAGTCATGCCACATACATGCACAGCAGTGGCATGAGATAGCTGATTTAATAGAATCTGGCCCTATTTTAAAGGCAAGGAAATAGATCAAGCAAGTGAAGCCGTGTGGGATGAGAGTGGCAGAACTAAAGTTAGGTTTCAGATCTTACTCCATTCCCATCTAACACATGCTCTTTCAGACTATGTTGCCATCTTACTAAAGCTGGACTTTGGAAATTACTGTGCAAAAGAACCTTTGAGAAAATAACTTGGGGAGACATTTATATTCTCACTGTATGTATAAGTAACTGCATAAACTGATTCTCGTCTGTTTCAATTACTGAATTTTTACATCTGAACCCAAACTATATCTGTCTCACTAGAATTCTTGTTGCCCTTTAGGGTGACGAATGTATCATATGACAGCAGAATGAGGACCAGAGACTTTACTAGACTCTCTGAAATCTTAAATAAGAGCTTAAAATGAGATTAAAATAAGTCATAGCTGAAAACACACTGGCAGCTATTGTCTCGTAATCAAGTATTCCAGTCTGGGATGGTTTGAGGATATTTCAGAGCTTTGCTGTTCAGTTTTGATTATTCATGGCATTTAAGAAACTGCCTCAGGATTGAGAAATCACCACATATTCTCCTGGTTTCTTAATGCAATCTCTGACAGTAGAGTATGTTTGACACTTGCTACTGTTGGCGAATAACTGCAAATAAGCATTAAAATGGTAACAGTGAATAGTGAAAAAACAGGGCAAAAAGAGCTAAATCATGGGTTGGGAGAAGGGAAGAAAACCAGAAGAGAGCTGCGGAGACAGACACAGAGGAAGAAAAGAAGATTAATCATCTACTGTGAGGTTTAAAGACCATTATTATGTCAAATCTTGATCATCAAAAGTGTGGCTATATACATTAATGTATAAAATATGTAAAGTTTGATGTGTGTAGTTTGCTGCTTCTTAGTTTGGAAGTTTGTTGTATGTATAGCTTCTAGCTGCCCTGTTTAAAACATACATATTCAGGATCAAAAATAGCGGCTCAATATCAAGTCAGAGCAAAGCTGAAAAATTCAGATGTGGATTTGTCATTACATGTGGAAATGGGGACTTTTTGATCTAGGTAAAGTGAAACATAAAAGCCAATTTTATTGTTATAGAATGGGAGTGACTCCTTCCCCATAAACTACCTCGTGGTAACTTGTACAGCCAAAGCTTTTCTGTCACTCATTGGGTAGCATAGCCGAACCAGCACTGCTTCACCCAGCTGAGTGCTCTTGAAGTCAGCAGAGTTACCTCAGTCAACATTTTAAAGCCAGCTGTAGTCAACAGTGTGCAAACGAAATGAGAATTCAGTCTGAGAATGGCAAGAAACTATGTACTGAAATTTTAAATTTACTTTCTCTGATCACATCTTTTTATCAGGGACAAATCTATTTAGTTCTTGGAACAGCCAAAAACCACCTTTTCCTTAACATTTTCAGTTGGGAACTAAAAGTGCCTTTTTTGCCTGATTTCCAAAAGTGCAAGCCTCACATAACCTTATTTTCTGTCTGCCATCTACAAAAAAAACCACCCCCCCCCAAAAAAAAAAAAAACAACCAAATTTGATAGATGGTCAGAAGTCTCAAACCCAGTTGTGATCACAGAAAGTTTGTGAGCTCTCATAGCTTGAGAAAAAACCCAACTTACTGGCTCACTGACAGGAAACAAATATTTGGCTTGGCAGCCTGCTTGCCAATCAGTGAATGTGATGGCCAGTCAGTTGGTGTGTACCTAGCCAAATCATTGCTGCCTCTTGGTGACTTGGTATGCCACAGAGGAAGAAAGTAATCATTTATGAAAATAATAAAATGACCTTTTAAAAGTCTGCAATTTTGGCTGCCAGTTTTATTCTAATAGAGGTCATGCATCAGAATTCAATAGAATTTAATCAATGGAGGATAATTATCAGGATTCAATGATTATTTAAAAAAATGGTATCTTACAAGACAGGACAAAGAATTATACACTGAAATCAAATATATACCCTTGTAAGCTGTTCAAAGCACAAAATTACTTTTGTCTTTTTGAAGATCTGTTGAAAGTGATCATGTTGGTGAACAGGACAGCTTCCCTCAGGGACACTGTTGTCCTCTATTGCAGTTTCTCAACAACTGCTTAAGGACTTAAGAATTCATGCTGTTTTCCTGGCACCACCCACTTTAGTTTTGGGTCCAGAGTCTGAAGTGGCAGGTACCTAATTCCCACTGAAGTAAAGGGTGATTAGATGCCTAAACACGAGGTGTATCTGGGGCAAGGTCACTGTCTGAGAGCAGCCCCCTTCAAAGTCATTGTTGCTACTGGCTGCCCTCTGGGCTGCAGACGTACCACTTCCACCCTGGAGCCTGCACATTTTGCACATGCATATTATAACAGCGAGGATAACGGGCCCCACACTCCAGTTACAGCAGCTGAATCTGGGCCTGAGAGCCATCCTGTCCTGGATATAGTTTCCTTCGCCGGAATGTGCTCCTGCCCCCTGTACCTCGCATGAAGGCTGAGAGTGTGGTATGAAAATGGGGCAAGGAGGGGAACGGCAATGCAATCGTGGTAGGTACAAAGCCTGTACTCCAGACAGCTCCCAACAGAGAAGCCTCCGCAGTTTCATGACCCAGATAACTAGAGTGGCCCTTCCCCACTTGCCCAAGGAGAGTGTGCTGACAGGGAAGTGGAAGCCTCATCCCCTCAGCCTTAGCCGGGCTCCA